ATAGATAGATAGATAGATAGATAGATAGATACTTTTGCCATGCCTTTTTGGCCCTACCCCAGTATATGGTCTCAAAGTACCTCTTTATCTCACTGACATCATCCTAGCATCAAATGGATAGAAATTTGATCCAAGAACACCCCACTCTCTACTCCTCCATTAATCAGTAAAAAAGGCACCACAGGCTGTGGCTGAGATGCACAATATTGTCTTAAGCCACCCCTCAATTCTTTATATTTTGTTACAAAAATAGGTTTACTGATTTATTGACACATGTGCAAACATACATGGAAATGCAGTATGCAAGACAACAGAACAGTGTGAAATGCTTGAAAGTCAGTATTTGATATGATCACCTATATTCTTTAAGAAAGTCCAACCTTCAAGATTGCATGAACTCTTGCACAGCTCTCTAGTTTTCAGGAATAGTTCTCGAGGGATTTTGAAGAACATTCAAAACTCATCTTGTTACAAAGGAGTATTAGGTGCATGTTAAGAAAAAAACATTCATAAAGTTGAAATTTTGAGATTAACATCATAATTCTATTTCATGAAAAAAGTCAATTTCGAGGAAAAAGTTTAAATGTAGAGATTACCGTTGTTGTTTCAAGACAAGCTGCCATGGTTACTATACCCTTAGTATACCCACTAACCCTTGAGGTTCGTGAAACTGTATATCAGAATCTGTTTTAGTACAAAGCCAGGATATGATTTCTCTTTTAGCACATAAACACAGTGTGGTGATAAGTATAAGGAAGATATTGCAGAAAGTTGCATCTTTACAGACAGAAAAACACTCAAGCTTGAAAGAGTGGATTTGCACAAAATGAAATGGCTGGCAGTGGACAGATGCAAGGTTATCAATGGTTACACCCTTGTGCAATAAAGAGTGTGTGTCAGTGTATGTTATAGGTGTTGTATCACAAGACAGCTGATCAGTTTGTTTCACTAACTCATCTAAACAAGGCTTTTTGTAGAGGGTATAGCAAACGTGGCAGACTTTTTTCTCAAAGTTGCATATTGAGAAAAAAGTCAAAATACTATGGTAGTTTGAAAAAAGAGTTAATCTTGAAATTTAGACTTTATTATTAAAATGAGCAATGATATTTTTTTTCTTACCTTGTCCCTAATACTCAATCATATCTTTGGATGACTGCTTGCTATGTTATGTTCTTTGTCAAGATGATCCGACCCAACTTCAATAATGTTGAGATCCAGGCTCTGATGAGGCTGGATTTTGTCTTGTTTTTAAGGACATGACTTTCAGATAGTTTTTAAACCTGCTATTTATTCTTTTGTCCTCCACTTGTCCAGTTTCCTAATTTTTTTCAGGACACACTGCACACTATGTCAAGATATGACAAGTTTCCAGCTAATAACTCTTTGGAAATCACCTTATTGGTACAAAAATACTATTTCATCACATTGTTAAACTGTGATATTTTTCACTTTTATAAAAATTTATAAAAGATTCAATTAAAGAAATTAGAGCAAAATATGTAAATTTTTGTGACATGTTGCTAGTACTAGTACTGCTAGACTGGTTCATCCCTTGAGTTAGCTGACTTTTTTTTTTTTGTTTGTTTGTTTGTTTTTTGCTTGAATGAGACATAGGTCAGTGTTAAGTGGCTTAACAATCAAAAAAAAATGTGTTGTGAAAATGGCCAAGTACAAGGGGCCTGGTCTTAAAATGAGAGAAAGAAGAGAAAAGCTTTGAATAACCTTCAGAAATCCTGGAAAACTAGGTCACTTTAAAAATTACAACAACTTCTAGGTCCTTGTAAGCAATGGTGAAGTGAAGGGTGGCTCCAGACTGACACAGTACTGTACTTTTACATACTTTTTTACATAAATAAAAGTTGGCACTGAAAGTGATCTTGACTTACCCTTGACAGAAAGGTGTACAGCACTGAGGGTTTGCCCAGCAGTATTTGATGCAGCGCAAACATAAACTCCGTTATCCTTTTGCTTACAATAAAGAACTTTAAGTGTGAAGTAGCCTTCTCTGTCCTCATATAACAAATAACGCCTTCCAGACAGTATGAGTCTACCATCTTTCCTCCAAATTATTTCTGGTTTGGGTTTACCAGTCACAAAGCAGCGGAATTTGGCATGTTTGCCCTCTGTCACAGCAAACATTTTTACTTTTGTTGACTTGGTCATGCTGTAGTCTTTTAGGCGGTTTGGCAGTTGCCTGCCACTCCTTTGTTTTCCCTGATGGACTTTCCAGTGGCCATTTATGTAGCCGTTGCGATTTCCTTCTTCTTCATGTCCTGGACCTGCATCAACAAGCAACACAGCTCCTGCTAGCGCTTCCCCAAATTCATTTCTTGCCTTGCATGTGTATACGCCACCATCAGGAGCACGGGTCTTAAAGATCTTGAGCTGGAACCATCCACCATCCTGGTAGCCTACACTGAAATGTGTGCTTTCAAATATTTCATTGAGTCTTCTACCGTCTTTTTCCCAGATAACATCTGGCTTTGGGTTTCCCCAAAGCTTACAAGAGAAGACAGCATCTTCCCCACGACCGACACGAGTGGAGAGGGGCTTGATGAGGAATAGTGGCTTATTTTCCTCCCGCAGCTCCATCTCTTGCGCTTCACCTTCCACCTTCAGTGTGGCAGCTGCATAGGTTTCCCCAATGCTATTTTTTGCTTTGCATATGTACTGTCCACTATCCTCAGTTGTGACAGCTGAGATGATGAGATTGTAAACATTGCCATCCTCAAAGACCCTATATCGTCCTTGTGGGTCAATCTTTTCATTGCTTCGCTCCCAGATAACGGCAGGCCTTGGATCACCACCAATCTGACACTTAAGCACTGCATCAGTGCCGCTTTGTACCACTACAGGTCTCGGGTAGGCTAAGAAACGTGGCGCACCACCAAAGACATCCATTGTTGCTTCTTACTTAAGCAGTTTAGGAGAGCAGTAAGTGGCTATTCACTGGTGCAAGACCAACCTACTTCCACACTGCAGGTTTCTACAAGAAGAAACGAAAAATTATTTACTTTCAAAACAATCAGCTTAGGCATGCTGTATAACATTGAAAAATGAAAAGACTAGAGATTAAATTTGTTTTTCTAAATTATAAAGGTGACTCAGCCTTATTAAATACCTGTCTGTGGTATGTAATTATTCTTCCATTTTCCCATAGGAAATGAACCCTTTGGAATAGATTCAAACACACATTAAAGCACTCAGCCGCCTCCCACTTTAAGTGCATGCATTTCAGCACAAACTCATGGTATGATTATTAGGGATAATTTAATTAGGGCTGTCTGCATGAGAGAAAATCACATGTTAACAGTGAGAGCGGGACCAGCCTAGTTCGACTGCAATTGCAGCCACAACACATAGCCAGTACAGCTGGTGCTGTATTTCAATGGGAAAGTGCTTAATATAGTACAGCCTAAATAAAGACCTGTGAGGGAGTGTGTGTCAGGTATCACAAAGACAGCTCAGAAACCCGCGTGCTCACACAAACACCAGCCGAAATCACAGTATCCCCACCCAAGAGGCCTTGCTGTCAAAATATAGTGAGCCTCCTTCACACCTTTTGTTGGCAGCGCTGTTGGACAACACCTTCTTTAAATGTCACAGTTTGTTTTTTTTAATCGTAATCCTGAATCAGTATCGCTTAGCCAATCCTAGGAACCAGTTTTTATGTAAAAGTTAGTAATAGTTCACGACAGCTTCAATTTTTAAATTGTATTTAATTTTATTGCTATAAAAATGTATTTAGTACTAAATACTAATATATTTATTGGAATATAAAATCTATAGAATATATTTATTTTTAAATATATTCTTGTCTGTGTGTGCTTTAGGACACGTCCTTAAGTGTTGAAACTAGGGACAGGAATGGAGAACATGTTTCAGTTGAGAACTGGTTGCAGTTTGTCAAATTGTTCAGGAATATTTTCCCTCGGGTTTATCAGTTTCTTTAATCACTGCTGACATGTTTTCCTGACAGTTCCACATTGCAAAACCATGAAGTCATGTTCATTGGACAGGAGTTTTTGCACACTTGAGTGACTTTCAACCTTCTCTGTACTCAAAAAAGGAAAAAAAAAATCTAAGATAATTAAACAGTTATGGTGACACTGATCATCTGTGTAGGCCTGCTCTTTTTTTTACTCATATTCTACTTGTTTCCACAAATCAATGAAAATTTTGATCTTAAAAGGAGAATTGATCATGGCATTGTCATGGCTAAAATGTTATCACTATCCACCCGTAATTGCAACTTTGTGCCTATGGATCCATTTTTCAGTGTCAAGAAATCAAATCAAATCAAATTTTTTAAAAAAGGTTTTCAATGATAGATTTTACATAATTTTTTATCATAATTACCATAAAATACTGTTGTTACTGATTTTGTAAACTTAGCCCACAGTTAACTGATGCAAAACTGAATAATACTGTTTTATACTCTTTACCATTTTCCAAAAATAAAAAACTACAATATAAATAAATGATTTTAAACCCTTGAATAACTGAAAACTGATGAAAAAGATGCACGTTTTCTTGGAACGGCTGAATAATTTCAGATGTTTACATTTCATACATTGCATAAAATTTCACACAGACAGTTTAGAGATTGCATTATTAGTTAAATATTCCCTGTGGAGGTTTAAAGAGGAGATTAACCCCTGTGTTTACTTGTCTGATTTAATTGGAATGACCTCTGCCCCTTGTGAAGCTGTGCTGTGTACCCCTCACATGACCTACCTCGCTTCAGTCGCCAGGAATGACCGTCAACATACATTCCGCATTTGCAATCTCTGTCCGAGTTAAGAGGCCGCCCGTCTCCTGAAGGCTGAGTAATGTCCCAAGTTGACTTCAGATTCAGAAACATGCTACCACATGCTGTCCTCAAAGGTCCCAAGTTTTACGGCAGTACATTTTTCTTGACTTTTGTCCAGTAGAACAGGCAGAAAACGAAACATAAGCATCCACGGGAGCTTCCTGTTTAACTACAACAGAGCGGTCCCCCAATCTCTGTGTTGTTCAGGCCCTCGACACCCCAAGTGTCATTGTTCATGGAATACTGTTAAATGCTTTTGCAGCTGCTGCTGTCCCCTAAAAATACTGGCTGCCTCGATGACAGCAGTGAAGATAAGTAAGGCACTTCCACTCATTTGCCAGCAGGGGCTAAAGATAGTAAGGTGGCCAATGCAGGGCAAACTGCTTAGCTTACTTGAGGTTTTGCAATGTAAAGTCATTAAGAGAACAGCAAGCTTTTTAAGTTTTAATGTTTATCATCATTAAACTCCTCATATTAACCTTTTTTCTTTCAGATTACACTTTGTAAGGCACAAATTATTTGTTAATACGATTAAGTTGGTCTCATAAAGTTTCAGCTTTTAGTCTGTTGTTATTGTGCAATATGCAAACGACTCAAGGCAACAACCAGCCAATAGATAATAAAACCACCCATGTAATGTTGCTTAGGTCCGCCTCCTGCTACTAAGATAGTGGAGATTAACTGAGCCATAGACACAAGACCTCTGGGGGTGTCCTGTAATGTCTGGCACCTACATTGGTTGTAGGGTGGGGCCTTCCTCGATCTGGCTTCTCCTGGCACATCTCACAAATGCTTGCTCAGACTGGAGCTAATCTGGTCAAAGCCTTGGGCTCTTTGTTTTCTTCTTTGAGCTGTTCCTGAGAAGTTCTTGTGTTATATGGATAATCAACTGTTAGTGCAATTTAACCTGTCTGTTCTTCCATAGTAGCCAATAGCCTGTATTTGATCCGATACCTTGTGGTAAAAGCAGGCATTGTATGACATGCGTGCTGGAGTTTTTCAGCGTGTAAGGCTGTTCTGTGATTATGAGATCTTTCCTTAACGTGGGCTACAGTGTCCCTTCAGCTGTTTAGCTGCTCCACTGCTCACACTCCCTCCTTCCCAGATTTCAGCTGTTGGGAGTAATGTGATATAACTCAGACCTCTGAAACTAGTTATGAAACAATTTGCGCCCACGATTGAGTAACAGTTCAAATTAATACATTATAAAATGTAAAGGATATTTTGCACATCATGATTTAATTTAACATAAAAATAGTGAAATGTCCAACATCAATAAAACTGTGAAGTAATGTTTTCTTACATACATAGCTCTAATGTTTGTTGTGTTTTAGCTTAAATCCTTTAAAGGTTGTGCATGGTGAGGACAGTTCCTGTATTGCAGACTCAGAAAATATACTAAATTGTTACTGGAATGGTAATGACAGATTACCTCTAATGTAATGCGGTTTTACTTTTGACAGAGGGTACTCCTTTGTCCCTTACAGAGACCAGTCTTCAGCTGGTGATGTCTTTTTTGTGCCTTAATGTAATGTTAAAAATATGTAATTTTAAAAAGGTGCAAAACTGGCTACCCATTATTTAAAATATAATGACAGGTAGATGGGCTCCCAGTTGTGTAGCATTTTTTGGTCTTTTACGTCTCACTGTGGAGTCACAGTGTGAACCTTTGCACCACCAAACTACCAGTATGCAACATGAATACAGAAGAAAACTGACTTTTTACAGACAGTCTCCTACTCCTTAAAGTTTAGATTTAAAATATAGAATCTTTTTAGCTACCAAAAGATACCTATGCTTTCCTTTAGGTGTAATAATTACCTTTGGGGGTGCCCAGAATGCCCCCTAGGAGGTGCCCAGAACAGATGAACACCTCTCACTCCTTTTGATGTGTCATTCCCCAGTTTCCAGAACATACGGCTGCAGATCTGTTCATTGACAAAATCAATCATCAACTTGCAGCCTAAGATGTCCTGGTGCCGTGTGCACTTATGAACTCCCTTATGTTCAAATAGGATGTATGTTATGGAGAAGCTGTGGTTAACATAGAAGTTCAACAACAAAATACTGCTTGGGTTCATATGAGCAGCCTATTCCACCCCTCCTGGTGACACCAACACACAAGCCCCTCCCAAACAATCAGGATTTTTCAGATTGCAACAAAATATTTAATGATGCTGTTATTGTTCCTTCAGACCAAAGAACCTAGCAGAGACACAGACAGTGCAGTGTTGTGTTATATCACATTTAAATAATAAGCACAACACACCCAGCAGTGCAGTGCACAATAAAAGGATAATGGACAATGTTCAAATGTTGCATTTGCAGGTTTTCAAAAGAAAACCAATTTCATCCTCTGCTGGTCATTTTGTGTAAGTGCAACATGACTCAACACAGCTCACAACATACAAACCTTCCAAGGTAAAACCCGAGACATGTTAAGTCTGCCAATCCAAAGGCTAGGTCCCCAACTATCGTGATTTTTAATATAACTCCGTTATGATTATTTTTTAATCTGTTAGAAGACTTACATAGCGATTTTTCAATCTATTGTTGGCTACAGTAAGGCCTGCAGTGTTTGTGTATGTGTGAGTGTGTGCTTGTATCATTATTTACTGTAAAGTTGTTCGCAGCTGAAGAACAATGATTGCACAGGGTGGATATTGCACAATCAAAGGAGACATACCCTTCAGTGTTCATTTTGTTTTCATACATACAGTTATTGTTTGTTATTTAATATTTTACCTACCCTGGGATACGTGCTGTTTTCAGTCTGTGTGCTTTGGCTTCCATTGTCCTGTGCTGCCTGTTTTTACATGTTTTTACATACAATCAGTGCTGAATGTTTGACGTCCACGTTGCTTAATTAATGACAAACTTAAAAATAAAAAGTAAGAGAAGGTATAAAAGTTCTCTCTTAAAAATAACAGTGTGTCTCATGATGAGTATGATGTTCTTCTTTTGTAAGCCAATTAAGCCAATCAATGAGCAACACTTCCACTTGTAATCCATCAATCTATACACCACTGCATATGAAGGCGAGTTCATGTGTGTGCTGGGGGAGCAGCACAGCAAAGAAGGACTCATCCAGGCTGGAGAAACTGATCAGGAGGGCTAGCTCTGTGGTTGGCACGAAGCTGGACACTGGTGACAGTGGCAGAGAAAAGGACATTAAAGAAACTGATGGACATTATGGACAATGCCAGGCATCCTCTGCACACGGCCATTAACAACCAGAAGAGTCTGTTCAGCGACAGGTTGCTTCTCCCAAAGACAAGAACCAACAGACTTAAAAACTCCTTTGTCCCACACACCATCAGACTGTTTAACTCCTCTCTGGAGGGGAGAGGGAGGGGAGACAGGAGGACAAAGGAGGGGGGAACAACTGAGCTGTAGTGCCTCTTCACCTCACTGTGCAATACCTTTTGTGCAATACTTTTGTAAATAGTCAACGGTGCAATAGACTCAATACTTGAAATGTGCAATTCACTTGTATTTTTATTTTTATTCCTATTTATTATATTTATCCCCTTCGTATATTTTATTTATATTGTCTCTGTATTTATATATATGTGTGTGTGTATAACTCTGTAACTTCTGTCGGTGCTGTGCTTTTTTGGAAATCGAATTTCCCAGAGGAACCCACCCGAGGGATTAATAAAGTTCTATCTAATCTAATCTAATCTAATCTAATCTAGTAAGAGCAGTAAATTTGTGTGTATATTTGCACATAATCATCTCACTTGTCCTGCAGTTTTGTTTTGCTCACATCGTACTGTTGATGTCTGACGCTTTCAAATGTAGCTTCTCAATAATACAATAACAGATATGGGACCAACTCAGATAATGTAAATGTACCGCTGATGCAATGTTTGAAGCCAGTATGAAGCAGGAATTATTATTTCTAAGTCTTAAATTCAGTGAAATTAAATTTCTTCTAATTTTTCCTCCCAAAACCTCCATCTTCATCAGGTAGGTCTCACCTTTTTATTATGTCTGTGTAAGATAAATTACGGTAAGCCCTCTGAAGCTACAAATGGTCATTATGTTGTCAGGTTTGTGCTTGTGAACCCACCACATCTCGAGAATATAGTGACAGTGCAAACTTATATGAATGACTGAAGGTTTTCCTGTGGAAATCAGAGGTTTACTCAGGTCATGCTGTAGTTCTTCACCCATTCACAGTCAGCTAATACCAACAGGTGGAGGACAACCAACAGCAACTTGGATTTGACTGGTGTGAGAGACAAGCTTTACTCAATAAATTAATGTAGAGCACATCTTATCTTTGTTTGGGACAATGTGGGGTGCTTTACTAATGCTGGGAAGGGGTCTGACATTAAATAAACAGACACACAAGTAATGCAGGTTAAAATGTAAGCGTCAGTGGAAGCTAAGGTTTACTTTTGTAGTCTTGCAGTACTATCATGGCTGTTCTGTCTGGCAATCATTACCAGGCTTTAATATGAATGCATCCACTGATCGGCACATAACTTTGGGGGTGCACGCTTCATGTGAGACTCGTGTTGGCTTCTGTAAACAAGAACAGTGTTTGTGCTCAGAAACATCCGGTCTCAGGGTGAAAAAGTAGTCCATTCGTTGGTTGTTTGAGTATAAAATTCCCCATTATCAGGCTTTTTAAAGCTCCTTTATCTCATAAGCCACAGTGAGAGCACTTACAGGGACTAGAAAGAGAGATCATATTTCTGCCATATTAACTTCTCTTTGTTGGCTCCTTTTTAAATGCGGGATTTGATTTAAATCTGTTTTGTCCCACTCATCTGTTTTCACTCCCTTTGTGTTTATATGCTGCTAATTCATATCATTAACTTTGATCTGATCTCATCTGTAGTTTGTTCTTTGTCCTGTTTATTGTTTGTGGCGTCTCTGATGCTCCTCTGGTGTCTCTCTTCCTTCAAGCCCCAAACAGCTGCATACATGGCTGATCCTCCCTGAGCCTGGATCTTCCTGAAGTCTTTTCCTGTTAAAAAGGAGTTCTTCCTCCCTTCTGATGCCTCTGCAAGGGGCATCTTGTGATTGTTGGGATGTTGTCTCTTATATTGAAGGGTGCTGACTTTATTGTACAAAGCACCTTGTTTCAGAAAACTCTGTAGGGTCACATAAAGTGGGATAGTTGCTCACCTCACCTCAGCTGTGATGTGCTGTCTGCTCTCCTTTTAGTATCAAATGTGAGGAATATTTTAAATATGCGTTTTAGTTTTACTGCGAAATGAGAATTAAAGTAATAAAAAAAATAATGGTGACAATCCCCTCCAAACACTTTTGTT